CGGGCGGACGGACGGACGGACGGACGGACGGACAGACAGACAGACAGACAGACAGACAGACAGACAGATAGATAGATAGATAGATAGATAGGTGTGTGTGTGTGTGTGTGTGTGTGTGTGTGTGAGAGAGAGAGAGAGAGAGAGAGACTTACAATTCATTAGGAGATTTCAATCTGTCATCAAAGACTTGAATCAGAATAATAGATGCACCTCTATTATGTGCATAGGCCTAAACCCAACTGGCAGTCCTGTCTAGAGTAGATTCATTAAATAATTGAGTGATGAGTTTCCACATACATAACTCCCACTGATTCAGTGTGTCTACTCTAGATGGGACTATGAGTTAGAATCCAGTTGTGGTGGCAGAATGTTTCCTTTGTCAATAAGGAGCTGAGGAAGTGTTACTGCTGTCTTGGCTACAAGGATTCTCCCCTTTCCAAAGTTAAGTGCATAGATACACACATATACGATACACAAAATGACAAGCTAACTGATCACAAAGGCAGAAAGCTATGGATACTGCTAGCCCAGGCAACAAGGCGGCAGTTGCTATGGTTTTAAATGTTTCCACATGTATGCAGAAAGATGAAATGCTCTGTCTTGAAAATGTATAATGACCTGCTGGCACTCACACGCACCCCCATGCCATCTTGCAACGAAGAGAAACATTTTTCAACATAGACAATGAGGGTGAAACAAGTCACGGTTTACATGCCAAGTTATAGGCAATGGTTTATCAACGGCCAGTGTTAATAGCAGCAGTTAATAGTGTCGCGTCTTTCTCCATTCTATTGCCTTCTGATCCAGTTGTCTACAGTCCCACCAACTTCTTCACTCCAAAAGACCTACTAAACATATGAAGGGTGGGGATCATGTTAGACACATACACACAGAAACAGACATCCCCCAATTTTCATTACTGGTTCTGTTATTTTCTATATGTGAAAACTCCTGTATCTGAAGAGGAGAGTTTCTGTGATCTTTAAAAAAGTATCTTTTCCAGGAGCCTGGACGCTCCAAGAAAATAATTTTTAATAGGAAATTATTGTTCCTGCATTTTTTGTAACTTCAGGGGGTCTGTAATTTAATATCGGGAAAGCTGCCACTATGATGATAACATCATTGTTTTGACTAAAATACTGCTGAGTTTGGAGGAATAACGGCCTGTTGTACCAGGAACCTGGAATGCCAGAATATTTGGGACCTGCAGACTTCATTTCCATATTTACACATTGTAACATAAACACATTCAACTGTTAGGTTGTTATGATACAGCGACCTTGCTTGTCTAGAGAGCCAATTGATTGCTTTAGAATGACTATAGTTAACTATTATTCAAACCTCAATTTTCTAAGTACTTTCATTTTGAAGGCTACTTTTTCCTATAAATCCCTCCCCCCTCCATTATTTTTATACTCTATACATACAAGGTTTCACATCCTGACATATGGAAGCTTCTGGTTTTACAAGTTTGTTGGGCCATTATCCTATTCAAATTGCTACATGTGCAAGGGGAACCATGGTACTGGCTGTAGCTACGTGGTGTTGGCTGGTCACATGCATCTTGACCTATTGTACAATCAGATGTTACCACATAGCTGCGGCCATTTCGATGATTCCAGAGCTGCAGCTATATTGAATTCCACAGTATAGTGCAATATTGATGTGTTGTGCAATAGAAAATTGAATGTGAAGGATGTGGATGTGAATGAGAGGGATGTGTTTCATGTGTAATGTGCTATGTTTTCATGTTATGGATGCTGTGTTCCGGCATGTGTTATTATTATGTGTACTGGAGATGGCATTTAATTTTGTTGTACAGAAGTACAATGACAATAAAATAAATTCTGTTCTATTCTATTCTATTTCCTTTGCACATGTGGTGACATGAACAGGATACCAACCATAGTATTTCAAGAGTCACAGGATTCTTTTTTTAATGGAGGGATCCACTGGGGTAGTCATGAGACCAAATGCCCGTTTTAGTCTGTTTCCATATTTAGTGTTATGTGATACCAAAGGCCAAATACAAAATCCTATTGTTTGTTGCTGGAAGGGAGGAATGATTACAAAAACTGGAATTAATTAATGGGAAACGTATCTGAATTTCTGTCTTATCCTGGAGAGCAGCTATGAAAGAAAACAACAATGGTGAAAGAGAGAAGTTATCCGAGATTGCACCTTTCACCTATATATAAGGTCCTTGGATTAAGTTTGTAGAGTGACAGAAAGTTATTACCACCTGTCAGCTGTCTTTTGACCTAACTGGAATGAGGTGCTGGTTCTTAGTTGTGCTCTCAGAAGTGTGGCTACATCAAAAATCCTTCTAACAACACCTGCAGGATTTCTGTTTCAGACAAAATTAAAGGTTTGCACCAAATGCACGGTGTGTAAGCTACTCTCCCAGGTTTCATGTCTGTTTGTGTCTGGTGTAGGCTGTCTGTGAAATAAACTCTGCACCCCTGCCTCACATGTTTATACAAAAATCTCATGCTACATTGTTCCCTGGTTGCTCCAACCTCTTTGAACAAAAACAAATAGAGGTACAGTAGCATTTCTAAAGGTTTAGAAAAAATCATATTATTTCCTTCACAGCCTGTGCACCAGAGGCTTCTGTCTCTGATGTCAGTGGAGTGGCGAATCATCATCATCATCTTAGAACTTCAGAGCTAGAAGGGACCTTATGGATCACTGACTCGACCTCTTGTCAAGGAGGCACAGTGGAGAATCAAACTCCCAACCTCTGACTCCATAGCTAGATACCTAAACCACTGAGCTACCCAGCAACATGCTCAGGGTTTTAGTGCAGACTTTAAGGGAGCTGTCTGAGGTGCTGAACTCCACTCCAAAATGTGTTCAGCACCTTGGATAGCTCTTTTAAAGTTTGCACTAAAACCCAAAGCGGATTTGCTGCCCGTACTGATATCAGAGTCATTAGACTTCTCTGCCTAGAGATTGGCCGCTTTGCTCTCATTATAACCAGGCAAGCCATTATTATTGCTCTGTTATTCCCCATCAGTATTCTTAGTATTTAGGGAATCACCATCTTGTAGTTAAGACCTTGCTGTTTGCCTACTTTCTGAAGCCCCTTTGTGCTGGGCACTGGGAATTCAGACTGACTAAAGAGCATTTCCTGTTTTAAATTAATTTATTTAATTACTGGTCTATTGGTTTTTAGTTTCATTTGCCAAAGGTGGAAAAGAAATGCTTGTAAGGGAGTTGCTGGCCTGTGAATCATGTCTTCAAGTTCTCATCTGTTCATGAAACATTAACAGTTTGTAGCCTTAACCATTAGGGGTCTTATGTTGTACCTAGGTGGCCAGCTCATAGAAATGTGTTATTTTTTTCCCCTATAGGTAGCCCATCTGCAACAGGTACAGGGACACTGCAGATTATTTTGGAAGATGTGAATGACAACGCCCCCACTCTTTATCAAACAGTATCAAGTGTCTGCGAAGATGCAAAAGATGTGAAAGTCATCTTTGGAGCCTTAGATAAAGACATCCGCCCCAACACAGACCCATTCAAATTTGAGTTGAGCAAACAGTCTGGACAGGATAAAGTATGGAAAATCACCAGAATCAACAGTAAGTTCATGCAAAAGAGCAACTTTTTTCCAATTTTAGGTTTTCATTCTCTTACATTGTTTCCTCTTCCCATGCTTTTTATCTGCCCCCATCTATGATCTATGATCACCTGGTCATCTCTGGATTTTCATAACGGTTCTGATGCTCTCACCACATGTTGTTTGAACTCTAAACTAGCAGTCAGTGGTAAGGGATGATGAAAGCAAAGCAAATGGAAGGGCCATATGTCCCCTATACTTTTATGGCATCCAAGGATTATTATAGTAAGACGTCTGAAGAACACAGTCATGACCTGCTGGAAGGCTGCCTCTGTGTCAATAGGGTGAGATACCCATTAGTGACATTCTGAAGATCCAGTTAGAACATTATATGACCTTCATCTGCCCCAGCTATGAATGAGTCATCTTTCAAGAGATCTGAGTGGGTTGCTGTAAAGGTTAAATAAGAGTTCTGGATGTGCAATGCATGAGCAACAGCCTTTCCTGAACTTAGTGCCTTCCAGATCATTTTGGACTACAATGCCCATCATACCACCTGACAGCATACCGTATTTTTCCATGTATAATATGCTCCCATGTATAAGACACCCCCCACTTTTCTAATCCAAAATTAAGAAATCTAAATGGGGTTTGGCAAGTATAGGAGGAAAGGGATCAAAGCACTTCAGGATCACTTTGATCCTTGCTTTCCCCTCCACTTGTTTTTTGTTCTCTCATAAGCTTACTTTTGTGTATAAGATGACCCTCAATTTTTAGTCTGAAGATTTTAGACAAAAGTATAGTCTTATACATGGAAAAATACGGCAATTGCTTGTAGAAGTTTGCTGCATCACATGCACAGGAGGATTGTCACCTATGGGGCCCATATTTCTGAGGGCTTGATCAGACAGAAAAAGAATAGCCATCGTTCTCTATGCATTGGCCTAGCAAAGTCAGTTTCAAAGAATTACATTTTTTTCCCAAAATGTTCTGATGTGATTCCTTTGGGAATCTGCATTTTGCTTTTCAGCTTGGAACCAAAAATTCCCAATCAAAGATATGCAAGTTTCCTGTTGCATTCTGGTGTGGAGCAGGAATCACCTCAAACGTTTATTTGGAAGGGCCCCTGATTTGTCTATGGGCCATCTGAAGGCAGCCCAACTAAATCTGGGTCATGACAGAAAGCCATACACTGAAAATCTTCAGATGCTGGGTTGTTGTTTTTTTTAAAGAACAGGACCTGCAGCCACAACACTCGATCCTAACCAAAGTCTGCTTGTTAGACTTCAGTATTCACTCAGATGTAAAGTTGCTCAACATTCTGGCTCGGTGTAGCCAAGAGTCTGTCAGATGTCTTCTGAAGGACACAGCCAGCAAAGTAACCTGCACGGAGCTGGCACCCAGAATTTTGCTTAGCCTCTTTGACATGACTGGGAATTCTGCCATTTCTACAGTGGAAAGGAAGTGGCTGAAGGGGAAGGAATAGAGCTGTCTCAGTGAACTGCAGGGATGCACCCAGAACTTAGCCTCTTTGACATGACTGGGAATTCTGCCATTTCTACAGTGGAAAGGAAGTGGCTGAAGGGGAAGGAATAGAGCTGTCTCAGTGAACTGCAGGGATCCCAGACAATAGGATAACTAACATATCTCCCAGTTTCTATTCATAAGACATTACAGGCATGGGCAAGCAGGGCCTGCTCTTGGATCTGATCCTCAGCACTTTTAGCTTTCCATTCCTCCTTTGTTTTCCTGCCATTTTACAACAACTCATTCTACTTTGTACTATTGCTGTTTTTTTTTTTAAAAAAATAAATCTCTGATTATTGCTCCACGTTTTGTCTTGCAGATACCCACGCTCAGGTCACCTTGCCTCAAAACTTGAAGAAGGCCAACTACAACATCCCTATTTTGGTGCAAGATTCGGGAAAGCCTCCGCTAACGAGCACAACGGACCTAAAAATCCAGGTCTGCTCCTGCACGAAATACAAATTTGAGTGCAGTGCATCTTCCACCCTTCACATCAGCCCGCTCCTAATCTTCGCTATGCTCTTCAGTTTAAATTGTAAGTCTTCTGAAGGCACTGAATCGTTACCTGCAGAGCTTTCTGACTTAAGCCAGACTTAAGCCTCTGCGAAGGGGGAGGGGGGAAAAGAAAGGGGGGGAGATGTTTGTGAGGGCTGGGTCCAGCTTTCAGCACTCTCCCCTTCACCGCTGGCAAAACGCCCTTGTGTTCTCTGCCGGTGGGGACTGGTAGCACCAGTGTCAGTGGCGTGGCAAATCCATTCTGGGGTTTAGCGTGGAACCTAAAGATGCGATCTAAGGGGCAGCAGCTGCTTTTTGGAAGAAGCCCCAGCACTGCAAAACTCCAGTAAAGCTTGGACTAAAACCTGGACCAGATTCACCACCCTACTGACACTGGAGCTACTATGTGTCGCTTCTTAAAGCTATACCAGGTACCTTGATTTCTCTTGTAAGAAGCCTAACCCTCAAGCACTAGAACAGTGGTTCTCATCTACACAGATGGGGCACAGAAACCATTTACGTGGGGTTCGGGAGGTTTCATGAAAAATACTAAGACATTGCTACTTGCTTTTCAGCTACCAATGGTATTACTATTGTGCTTGTTCATTTAGGTTTTACTTCAGACAAAACTACAACATGTTTTAGGTCCTTATCACTTATTGTAAGGAAACAATGTAATCCCAGAATACCTGTGAATATATAAATATCCACTGGCAAAAAGGGGGGCATGGTGTTTCTATTAGGGAAGTACTCAGGTTCTTTGATTGGTGGGCTCATGAGATATAGATGGCTGAGACCCACTACTTTTGGATCAAAATAAATCTCCTGCAATTGAGTGATGGGATAGTTTCTGACCCCAGTGAGAATTCTAATGCCTTGAGCACTAGGATCAAAGCCAAGTTATAATGCAGAATCCCTCTAGTATGGGGTGATCTTATGAAAGGAATTTTAATTTCCCAGAAGGGGACCAATGTATTGACAGCTAGAGAGTATGACAATTCTGTTTCATTTCAACATGGTTCGCAAACATGGGACGTTTTTCAGCCCAGCACTTTAAGCACCTCAGTTGCATAAAACCGTTGGGTTGCTCTCGTGCTAGGAAGCAACACCAATCATTTATTTTGATTTACATTCCACCTTATTCCCAAAAGTGAAAACAAGATACCTATTTATTACTGATTGATTAATCCATGTTCTGATTGACTGACATCATTTGTATGCCTCATTATAGCTCTCAAAGCGACTTATGTGTCATTAAAAAAGAAAGGGCTCTCGGGCATCCAGGCTAAAAAGACAGGGAACCAAAGGAAAAGGGGATGAGGTGGGAAAAGGAAAACAACAAACCCCCAGAATTAATGCAGCTGTGATGTTACAATGCAACCAGGTGTTGTTAAGTCTTCATATCCTGACCATGTAGAATTGAAACAACTTGACAAGAAGGGGATCAAAATATTGGCGGCTTATCAGCAGGGCTCAGAGGGTAGTCCTGCTTCCTCTCTTGTTCTTCCACTAAAGCCAGGTGGAATGGCTACTAGATGGACGGCAATTAGGTGAAAATCAAGACATAACAAAGATTCTTGCCTGGAAGCCATAGGGATGGGACTGCTCTCCTCCTTGGTGGAATGGCTCATAACGCTTAAGCTAAGCCGACACACCCATCCATCAAACACAAAGTAGCAGACCCAAAGACACAAAAAACCTATTCAATACTATTATTTTTTTCCTAGTGCATGTGCCAAGACACGAGTTCTTGCGGTTTCAAATTTTAAACATTTGCAGGCATGCAAAATATTCCATCTTGCAGAATCTCTTCAAACCAGACAAAAGAAAATATCACAGCATCTTGCAGTCAGGAATAAAATTCTCATCCTTTGTCTCAGTTGCTGTGTGATGGGGAACTGGGTCAGGATTCCTGTTCCCATACTTAGAAGAAGATTAAATGCCATTCAGAGAAGGTACAAAGCAAAGTCAGTCTTTGGAGAGATGGGCCGATTAAGCATGCATTGGAAATGTCTCAAGCAAAGTAACAGTCATAGGACATTTCCTTGCTGTGATACAGATGTCTGCAAACAGGAAAAAAGTTGATCCTCGAGTCAGTGATTGTGTTTACATTGATGATTGCTTAAATGAAAAAGCTTAGGGGAAATCTACAAAGGTTAACCAGTTTCAAGTTATAGTCAGCGAACAGAGTGTCAATGGAATTTGAGACATTACTGCCCAAAGAAATCGTTCAAAACTTTCCAATAAATAGCCACCTAATGGGCTAAACTAATATAGTAGGACTGTGATCTCTGCAGGAGATTGGTTCCAAGCCCGTGTGGATGCTGGAAAATGTGGCAGTATTGGATGCTAAGCATTGCATGGTCTCTGGCTCCCTCTAGTGGTCAGGTCTAGTAAATACACCCCAGAAATACATATAAATGCTTTTTTTCTGGGTCTTTTTAAAAATTTATTTAGTATTTTCAGTCAGTGGATAGGTGAATCAGCAGATACTGATCCACTGATAGGGGGTTCCTACTGTATCAACCAAGGTCAGTTCTAAAAAAACCCTACAAGGCCCTTAATGGGGATGGAACAGATGCAATATTTATATTCCTGGCGGTAAAGTGATGGGCTTAA